TTTCTGTTTCTCTTTCTCTTTCTCTTTCTCTTTCTCTCTCTCTCTCTCTCTCTTTCTCTTTCTCGTTCTCTTTCTCTTTCTCTTTATCTTTCTCTTTCTCTTTCTCTTTCTCTTTCTCTTTCTCTTTCTCTTTCTCTTGCTCGCTCTCTCTCTCTCTCTCTGTCTCTCTCCTCCTCGTTTGCCAAACATCAAGTGTTCTACGGGCTGATGTAAGCCAGCAGTAACGATCTATATCGATCTATCTGTCGACTTGATTGGCTATCTTTAGATCTGCACTCACAGACAATCAGCTAAACAAGCACGCGTGTGCATAGACGCAATGGGGCCAAGATTCGGATCGATGCATGCATACATAAATTTGTTTGTATATTATATACATAGATGTATACAAATCTGTATGTCTGCGCACACACGCACACACGTGCATCTGGCTTGTTTATGTACACCGATGCATGTGCAAAAATGTGCTTCCCGCAGGAACACGTTCGCGCGAAAGCATGTAGGCACCGTCGAAAGACGGTATGAGATAAGTAAACTCAACACACGTTGTGCGTCTGAATGTTCCTATTGGTTCATGTGTGTCACGTAGATGGCATGCTTCTGTCATGATTGTGTAAACTGCAAGCGCTTCTGCATAGCTGTGTATGGCCTTCATGTAGCAACAGACACCGCTTTATACCGCTTTATGTATGCACACAGGATCATAGACTGTGTTGTATGTATGTACATACTGTGCTTCTGCTGGTTGTGCATTAGACACGATGGGCGCAAGCAGTCGTGGCACTCGCTGTAATGTAAAGCAGCTTAGTGCCATGCAGTGCAATGCCCGGTGTTGCAATGTACTGTCATGTAACGTATGCACGTATGCTTGTTTAGGTGTTTAAGCGGAAGTTGGTTCTGGTCCTGGTATTTATATGTATTCATGCTGTGTGCTCTTGACGATATGTTGCATTATGTTGTGCTACTGGATGTTATGCATGTGTTGTCCAGTATGCATGTGTCTATGTACGTCGAATGCCAGTGCTAAAAAATGTGTGTGAGTGTGTGTATATATGTATATGTATACATGTATTTATGCATCGCATTGTTTTGCCTTGCATTTTGTGTGTATGTAGTTTTGTATGTATGAACATACTCCATTGTTGTGAGGATGGAATACATAGGCAAGTGTGTGTATCT